CCCGGCCCCCCATGGACTAGTCACTGTCTCTCTGCTGCCAGGCGAATAAAAGGAGATGATTATTTCGTGAACTGGGCCAGGCCGAGCTGGGGCGGGCGCGACAGGCCACGCATATCATATCGAAACAACACAACAACAGAGAGCGACACTGATCTCCATATTAGCACACGGGCGCGCCGGGCACGAGCAGGGCGAGCGGCAGGATGCGGCGCAGCTGTGCTCGGGCTGCCTCTGTCTCTTTCAGCCTGCCCCTGTCTCTCAGTACCCCTTCACCTGGACGCGGTCAATTTTCCCTCGCCGTGTCGCCGCCTCGCCTCGACTGCTCGCCTCTGCTGGGGCGGGGGTGCTCGGCTCAGCAACGTCGCGTCCGCGAGTATATTAGTCACGGGAACACGAGGGGCGGCCCGAGTGCCGACAAATACTTCTGCCGAGTGGACAGCGACAGCGGCGTCGTTGCGGGACGCTCCCCGGCGGGCGCGCCCCCCGACACCTTGTTGGCGCGTCAGGTGCGAGAGGGGCCTAAATGTACCCCGCGTGCATCCCCGCGCGCTGCTGGCAAGGCGCCCCACCCCACCAACAGCTGCATTCCGCGCGAGCCGCTCGACGGCGCCGCCGAGGAGCACAGGAAGGCGGAGGGGGGCTTCGCCAGCGCACGCAAAGGCGGGCGGCGCGGAGTCGGGGTTGAGGGGGGCGAGCGCGCGACATTTTAACCCCTTTTAAAACACCTCTTAGTCGGAGAGCGCCTGGCAGCCGGCCGCAGCGGGGCTGTCTGTCGTGTCAGCTGGCCGCAGGGCGGGGCGAGGCACAATCCACGCTTGGGCTGCCAATGCCAGGCAGACTGACAACATAACGACGGGGATGAAAATCGAAAGGGCAAACGCCGGGGAGGCGGGGTGGGGTGCAACACGGTCCGAGTCCCGCGCAGGGATCATCAAAGCGCGCGCGAAAGCATGAGGATGCTCGTAAACGTGTCATCCACATGCCGTGGGGGGGAAAGGGGGGGGGCGGTGTTCGGCGAGGCGTTACGAGGCTACGAGGAGCTCCCCCCTCGCCGGGGGGTCATTCATTCAGACCACGACACTCACCTCCGTTGACGGAGTCGGCCCTAGACGAGCCCACGGTGCGCGTCGACGTGGCCGACGGCGACGTGGAGGCCGACGCCGTGGAGCACGAGCTGGACGACGACGAGGTGGCCGAGTTGGAGTTGGACGCCGACGAGTTGGCGAGGTGGGGCTCGTCGTAGTGGTGCTCCGAGTCGGAGCGCGGCAGCGGCAGCGGGTAGTGGTAGCAGCTGAGCGCGCCGAGGGGCGCCGCGTGGTGGCCGCCGAGGCCGATGCCCGGGCCGCCCAGCGTGCCGCCCAGGGTGCCGCCCAGCGAGCCGCCGAGGCCGTTGAGCCCGTTGAGGGCGCCGTTGAGGGCGCCGTTCATGGGCCGCCCTCCTAGCGAGCCCTGCAGCGACCCCAGCGGGGCGCCCACGGTGCCGAGGCCGAGGCCGACCGGCACGGACGACGTCAGGTCCGGGCCCTTCTTGTCCGTGTCGGGGATGAAGTCGGCGGGGTACTCTGTAACAAAAGAGAGAGTTGCTCATTAACAAGGGCTGCATGAGAGAGCGAGACATTGGAGCCGGGAGCAAGGGAAAGGGGGGGGGGGGGTAAAGTCGCAGCACCAAAGGAGTCCAGCGCCACTACTGCGGGCCTGCGGGGCCGCGCGGCATAAACTCATTCCGCGTAGAAACAATGCCACTATTCAAGGGGAAGGCTAAATTATTAATGGCCCTAGTTCCGAGAACACCCGTGTCAACATATCCGCAAGCACTTGGGAATTCTTGGACCGAAGTTTACACAACCCGATCTTGCCCCCGCCGCGCGTCCCTCCCGCCCCCGCGCCCGCCTCGCT